GTAGTTAACATACCTCAGAGCACTGGCCAGGTAAGTTATGAACAGACATATACAGAGGAGGGTCTTCATGTTTCTCAGCTTTCCTTCTTCTTTCTTCTTTTGTAGATTTTTAGAAATGTGATCTGATCATCTATTTTTTTAATAGAATACCTAGTTTTGTACAAAATTTGATGGTATTGTTACTAAAATTTGACCAATAAACAAAGCCTCTCATTGTCAATATTATAGAAGTAAAGCAGCTATAATTTTGATGCAACTGAAGCTGTGAAAGTGAACGAAATACTCACAGCTTGGCATTATACTTTGGCTGCTAACAAACTGCTCGAATAGATCTACTATATGATAGTAGATCTATTCATGCAGTTCGTTAGCGGCCAAAGTACAATGTTGTGAGTATTCTTTTCACTTTCACAGCTTCAGTTGCATCAAAATTATAGCTGCTTTTAGTAATCACACAACTGCATCCAGTACATTTGGCCTTGTAACTTGTCTGTATACTTCAGTAGCACTGTGGCACGTAATGTATTTGTTGATAATCCAAGCATTGATATTGATGTAATTGCAGAAGGAAGACTATGTTGGGAAGTATTCATAGCTGAATTATAGTACTGAATCTCAGCATTGTAGACACGGTATAGGTGGGATAATACAAGAAATTATTAGCATAATAAAATAGCAGTTTTTATGAGCACGGCAGTCTCATTTCTAAATGTCCAGAATGAGGAGGCTCTTTATTGTTATTCTTACTGAATGATCAATAATGGCACCAGTAGATCTACATGTATATGCATCACGATGCTATTAAATTTAATTATAAACAAGGCCACAGCCATTATTAATTGATAAGGTGTGGCTTAAAACCAATAATAATCCAAGTAATCCAGCTTGTAATCCCTGGTAGTCCAAAGAATCCACCTATAATCTTGGTAATCCACTCATGATCTTGGAATTCTACTCGTAATCCGGAAGTAATCAATTAGTAAATGATGATCCTGGTAATTTTTGTAATTTCATAGAGATTTTCCTCTCATTGTGAACCCCTTGGCTTATTTGCAGCAAACGGTAAGCAAGATAAGACTAAACTGCTGTCCAAAAGCTTCTATAGCAAGAATTAAGAAAGGTTGGGAGAGCAGATATACAATCTTTTCTTTGATATAAAGGACTCTGATAAGTTGAATGCAAGAGAAAAAGCTTCATGTACTGTACTGTAGCTAGCTGCATTCATGATAAGATCTATTCTAGGTGATGTTTCTTCTCTAGCAGCAAGCTTAGGTTAACAAAGCAGATGTACAATCTTCTTAAAATATGATTTGTTCAGTGATTACTTCTAGCTATAAGCAAGAAAACTTTAATTGCTGCAGAGTGATGAAGTGATAGCTAGAGAAAATTCAAGCAAGATGACTGCAACAAGATTTACTGTATTTAGACTTGTGCAACTGCTTTGCTAGCTCAGACATGTAGATCATACAGCACATAATCTATAGCTTGCTTAGGCTTGCCCCTTTAATGTGTTACATTCTTCTAGTTAATATGGTGTTATTATTATTATTGTGTTATTAGTAAATCGGCTAAGAACAGGCGGAAAGCTGATCGTAAAAAGCACAGTCTTAAAGAGGGTAGTCAATATGAGGACATTGCACTAATGGAAGCTATACAAGACATTATTAATCACGCTAATATAATACAAGGTATTATAGCCTTGTTTTATTGTAATGTAGTACAGCTGGTAATTTATGAGTGGCAGGAAACTTTGAAGGTTTGATAAATTTTAGTATTTGCCTGGTTTTAATTTGGTAGACTTGTGATCATTAATATGTACATAAATGGCCATTTTTTGGCTAATTCCTACATGCATTTAAATGTTAAGTTTTTCCTCCCAAATTACAATTAGCTATACATTATCTCCCCTCCTTTATGTCTAACTCTCTTTCTCCTGTTTCTCCTGGCAGATGAAATCAGGTCATTATTAGTTACATTGTGTGTTTATGGTATGAAGGAAGAGGCTGGTATCCTACAGAATCTCTTCTCTTCTTATCTGCACAAACTCTCATCAGGTCTTCAAACTGTGTGGAGTAGTAACACTGAACTACCATCACAGCCACCTCCTGTATGTCAACCATTACTTGTACTGTATACCAGTTTATTTATTGCAATGGAATTTAGTTTTGCAAATCTTGCATTTATAAGATTTCGGGGAATTAGCTTTTTTGTGAATAGCTTGCAGACTGCACCACATGGCAATGAAGATGCAGAATTTTGCAGTGGAAAATATTTGTGATGGAGCAAAAGATGTGAAATTTGCAAAAATATTTTACCGTGAAAATAAACTGGGATACGGTATATTAGTGTGTAATCAGTGTACTGATGGCATGTTTATTGTTATTGTTTGTTGTTTGTTGTTGTTGTTTAGGTTACTGGCCCTCAGTCAACAGTTAATGATATATTATCATCAATTAATAAAGGAGGAGCTGGTGTTGCTAATTGTACGTAATTATAGTTTAATTAATTGATTGTTTTATTTATTTATTTATTTTAGGTGGATCTGTTCTTCCTTCTCGTCCTGTTTTGAATATGAAAATGAATTGGAAATTATCATCAATAATATAATAATAATAATAATACTAATAATGAATGAATGAATTATTAATTTTAATGAAAATGATTTATTATTGATTAATCTCATTATTATTCATTGCACGTGATATGCGCATGCGCAGTTTCTCCACTGGCAGCCATTTTGTTTTTGCATCAAGTGAGCCTCAACCTTTCCCTCACTCTTATTTATACTTTTGCTGTCCCCTCTCTCTTTTCCATTCCCTTCACCCCAGTATGATGTCCGTACGGTCTCTATTCTCCACTGGAAGGAACCTCCTTCGCTCCACGAGCTGGGTAAGTTTACTGGCAGCCATTTTGAAACCCTTTTGACCTTTATTTTACAGAGAGGCGTCCAGGGAGCTAGATTCAAGTCATGTAAGTACTAGTAATGCTAAAAATACTAGCTATCCTCCTTCTCCTTAGCTACTTCCAGTGCTGAGGTGTCGAGCATTATAGAGCAACGGATCCTGGGGTATGAGGATAAGACTGAACTGGAAGAAACTGGTCGGGTTTTGAGCATAGGAGACGGTATCGCTCGTGTTTATGGACTAAAGAACATTCAGGCAGAGGAAATGGTTGAGTTTTCTAGCGGGCTCAAGGTTGGTTACCACGGCGTCGTCAAGGCGACGGTTGTCATGACGATTATTGTTATTATTACAGGGTATGGCTCTTAATCTTGAGCCTGATAATGTGGGTGTGGTCGTGTTTGGTAACGATAAGTTGATCAAAGAAGGAGACATCGTGAAAAGAACAGGAGCTATTGTTGATGTGCCAGTAGGAGAATCATTGCTTGGTAGGGTAGTGGATGCACTGGGCAATCCTATTGATGGAAAGGTGAGGTTCTTTTGTAATAATATTGGAGGGATAGTAATTTGTGGAGTTGCTGGATTTTGGCGATTAGAATTAGTGTCCATGTGCCATTGAGCATGTGCATAAAATAATGGTTGAAAATTGTGAGTTTTATTTTGACAAAATGGCTCTCAAAATACTAAATTCACTTAAAGATTCCTCCTCCAACTTACTAAGTGATGAAGTATTATTAATAATATTTAATGATCCCCCCAGGGTCCTATCACGTCTGATCTAAGGTCTCGTGTTGGTACCAAAGCCCCTGGTATTATTCCTCGTATCTCCGTTAACGAGCCCATGCAGACTGGAATAAAGGCTGTTGATAGTTTAGTACCAATTGGGCGTGGGCAGAGAGAACTGATCATCGGTGATCGACAGACTGGCAAGACAGCTATCGCCGTGGACACCATCATTAACCAGAAGAGATTCAACGACGGACAGGATGAAAGTGAGTAGGCGTGTCTCAGTAGGTGTGGCCAATATTAATTAATTATTAATAGAGAAGAAGCTCTACTGTATATACGTAGCCGTGGGTCAGAAGAGAAGTACAGTTGCTCAGCTATTAAAGAGATTCACTGATGCCGGTATGTACATGTACATGTATATTAATTAATTTTATTCATTATTATTATTGTTATTAATTAGATGCTATGAAGTACACTATTATTGTGAGTGCTACAGCTTCTGATGCTGCTCCACTCCAGTACCTTGCTCCTTATGCTGGCTGTGCTATGGGAGAGTACTTCAGGGACAATGGGAAACATGCCCTCATCATTTATGATGATTTATCCAAGCAAGTAAGTTATTTATTTATTCATTTATTTATGTATTATTTTATTATTCATTTGTTTGTTTATTTATTTTGCATTTATTTATTTATTTTTCATTCATTTATTTATTTGTTTATTTATTTTTTCATTCATTCATTTTTTTTTCATTCATTTATTTGTTTATGTATTTATTTATTCATTCATTTATTTATTTATTTATTTATTTTTGCATTTATTGATGTATTTATGCTTTTATTTATTTGTTTGTTTGTTAGGCTGTTGCCTACAGACAGATGTCACTGCTCCTAAGGCGACCCCCAGGACGTGAGGCTTACCCAGGTGACGTCTTCTACCTTCACTCTCGTCTCCTTGAGAGAGCAGCCAAAATGAATGAGGACTATGGAGGAGGATCACTCACCGCACTACCTGTCATTGAGACACAGGTAACCATAGTAACCTTTATAACATGTACATGTATGTCACCTTTATTTAGGCTGGAGACGTGTCTGCTTATATCCCAACTAACGTAATATCTATCACTGATGGACAGGTACTAGTAATGATAGTGTATTAATTACTTGTTTATTTATTTATTTATTTGTAGATATTTTTGGAAACAGAGTTGTTTTACAAAGGTATCAGACCAGCCATTAATGTCGGTCTGTCTGTCAGCAGAGTGGGATCAGCAGCTCAGATCAAGGCTATGAAACAGGTTGATATTCTCATTCCCATACTCTCCTTATTCTCATACTCATGTTATTCCATTCTGATACCTATACTGCCTCATTCCTGTACTCTCCTTATTTTCATGCTTAAACTGCCTCATTCCCATGCTGTTCCTATTCTCATACCCATACTGTTCCATTCCCATGCTGTAGGTTGCTGGTACCATGAAGTTAGAGTTGGCCCAGTACAGAGAAGTTGCTGCTTTTGCTCAGTTTGGGTCTGATCTTGACGCAGCTACGCAGTCCCTCCTCAACAGAGGAGTGAGACTAACAGAACTACTGAAACAAGGACAATACGGTATGTAGTATTACTATTAATACACTCGTATGGCTGGGTTTTTTTTTGATGATAACGAATTTCACAGTTTTTTTTTAAATTTGTGAAATCAAAGTCCTTGACAAATCAATTTAATATTGTACAAGATGGCAGAATAGTGGAAGTTTGCGAAAATTAATTTTGTGAGCATCCTGAAGCAGGTCATTCGCAAAATTATCCTTGAAAAAACCGCTATGCATCTTCGTAGTAATAATGATATTTCTCTTTTGTAGTTCCAATGGCCATAGAGGAACAGGTAGCTGTTATTTATGCCGGAGTGAGAGGATATTTAGATAAACTGGACCCAGCTCTAGTCACATCTTTTGAGTCGTCGTTCCTCGAGCATCTCCGCTCCTCACAAAAGTCCCTTCTTGACACGATTAGAAATGAGGGACAGCTCTCGCCAGAGACAGACGAGAAACTCAAACAAGTTGTTCTCTCGTTTATGGAGACTTTCACTTCTACAGCTGCCTCTTAGAGACGTGGGCTTTATTTAGAAACTGTAACTATATTACTAGTTAATTAATTAATTAATAGGACTATTAAAATTATTAAGACGCTGTGCTTATCTATTATGATGTAATTAGTAGGTTATGGAATTAGTATATCTCAGTATACTATTGGTGATACTGTTGGGATATTATTGAGAAAGTGGTCACTATTTTCATTAAAAATTAATTCAAACACATTGAAACAAGAAAACTACATAAGAATTATCCTTCAAAGAGTGAGAGAGAAAGGGACAAAGATGGAGGAAGAAAGAAATGAATAAAGAGATGAAAAAAGAATTATTTATATCGGTTCTATTAGGGGGCGTGGTCAAGACATGGCATCGTGAAAATTATCCTCATCATCTAGTTGATCTGCTCCTTCTTCTTCTTCCTCTTCCTCCTCCTCCTCTTCTTCACTGCTCTCAAGGTAATCGTCATAGTCCAGTATATCATCGAGCTCACTGACGGAGGTTTGCTTTGTGGTTTGTTTTTGAAGGGTTGCCATGTACTCTTCGACTGTCTGTGGTACCTGGACGCCATCTCTCTCTGCTTCTTTTAAAGACGCTTCAACTTGCTTCCTATTAATATAACAGTTAATAATAATGACAATAATAATAATAATAAATTACTTTATAATGTCTGTGTACTGCTTGTCTTTTCCTCTGGAGTCCCTCCACTTGCGATAAAGAACTGAAGCATCAACGTTAGCAGCTGAAAATGTATTCGGCTCATTTAGTAATGATATGACACTGAGAAGGATAGTCCTGTAATAATAATAACAATAATAAATATTAATAATAATGATCATGATAAGTAGTTTACAATATTCATTACTCTTCAGGCTGCGTTTACACAGGAACGCAAAAAATGATAGTTAACACCAACGGGAGTCTTATCGAGATTCTACTTAGTTTCCGTGTAAACTGAAGCACGAAACAGGCACAAAAACTATACGGATTGCATTGTTTTCGTAGCTGTGTAAACAACGTTGCCCCGATCATGGTTTAAACTATCCATACCTAACACTTTGGGTCGGGTTCCATCTTTCCTGAGGTAACTCTCCGCTCAGCATGTCCTCGCCAGGGGAATGCAGAATAGACACACACAACTCACCATCCTAATGATTAAAAATAAATAATAATACAATGATAATACTTAATAAATAATAATACTGTAGATTTGGAAAAAATTTTAAGATACGAATACCGTAATTGGTACGAAAAATTTCATGTTGTTTTATTTCGTTGTTCCAATATCTAAGTACATATTTCTATGTTTTGAAAATATTTCATGTTTTAACATTTTCCCATTAGCCATTAAAGCGAAATCATTTATAATATCAAAAATATCCCAATCTACGTTAACACTGATGGAATCTTACAGAGTAGACATTAGGATGGAGCAAAGGAGTTAAAAACTTGAGTCGAGGCGGAGAATAAGGATACTCTTGTGGGAACCTCATTTCAGCCTAAAAACAACAAAAATAAACAACAACAACAAACAATACTCATACCTTAAAGTATCCTCCTTGATACGGAGTGTCCGGAGGCCCGAATATAGCTACGTGCCAGGTATAAAGGTCTTCTTCGGCGGGTAGGGTGACTAGGAACCCTTCCACCGGCTCCTGGTGAAGGCTCTTCAGCTCTCCAGCAAGTCTCTGTAAGGAGGTAGAACTGTTAGTAGCCATTATGATCTCCTTTTGACACTGACAGCTATCAATCTGATCATGAATAGGCAAACCACACCTTTTATAGCCACGCCTGTAATTATGAGTGGGTGTAGCTCTACCTATGCAGGCGTGGTCTAGATAATTAAAGCTAAAGATGGCGGCCACCAATGTCCCACTCTCCACCCAGAGTAGGGTCCTCGGTTGTCTGGTCGGTCTAGCGGTGGGTGATACTATTGGTATACCGGTTGAGTTCATGCCTCCCGGGTCCTTTCCCCCGGTCACCGGTATGACGGGTGGTGGGCGGTACAACCTGTCGCCAGGACAGTGGACCGATGACACCAGTATGTGCCTGTGCCTAGCCGAGAGCCTCATCGAGTGTAACTGGTTCAATCCGGTAGACCAGTTGAAGAGGTACCAACGATGGTACCAGGTTAGTGGGCATAGCTAATGTGAGCTAAGTGTGGTAATGTATAGTGATTTAGGATATCTTGGAATTTTGATAAAAATAAAATTTGCTATTTATGAGCCATTATGTGCATGTTCAATGGTAGTCTCGCGGCGCCAGACCACAAATCTGTCAAATTAAAACCAGCCAATTTATTTAAAATGTAGCATTTTACCAAAATATCCTCCAAACACCTTAAGATTATCATCATTGGTGTTCACTTGCTTGTTTGATCATTAATTGTTTATTGTTGTTGTCATTAGGACGGCCACTTGTCTTCAACCGGTGAGTGTTTTGACATTGGTAAGACGGTACGTACAGCGCTAAACAAGTTCACTGGGTCTGAGGAGTTCCCTGGGTCAGTCGGTCCTAGAGCAGCAGGTAACGGCTGCCTAATGAGACTAGGACCTGTTCCTTGTGCTTTTAAGAACTGTCACTCACTGGCCCTCCGATATAGCGCTGACTCAGCAAGAACTACTCATGGACCACCTGCCGCTACTGATACATGCATGTAAAGTGGGAGGGGCTTAGTGATTATTATTATTATTATTATTATTATTATTATTATTATTATTATTAATAGATATTTCGCTGGTCTATTGCTGGGTTGTTTTGAAGGAAAGTCAAAGGAAGAATTATTAGCTGATAAATATAGTCCAATACCTGATTACTGGTTGAATAATACAATGGTAAACAATAAACAACAACAATAAACAACAACAACATTGTGTTTATAGGTACCAGAACTTGCTGAGGTTGTGGGCGGGTCTTATAAGAGAAAGTCTCCGCCCGATATAAAGGGGAGTGGCTATATCATTGATAGTCTTGAAGCAGTGCTGTGGGCATTCTATCATACTGATAATTTTAAAGATGGGTGTCTAAAAGCAGGTTAATTTATTAATATTAAGTAACATTAATAATTATTAACTAACATTAATACTTATTAATAGTTAACTTGGGAGATGATGCTGATACTGTTGGTGCCATATTTGGTCAATTGGGCGGAGCTTATTACGGGATAGAATCAATACCATCAGAATGGAAGGAATGCGTTTCATTTTTAAAATTAATTGAATTATTTAGCGAAGAAATTAATAATTTAGAACCAAAAGAACAATCTGGACTTGTCCCATTTTCAGAGTGTAAGATTAATCATTATTACCGGTAATTATTATTAATTAATTATTATTTTATAGTATCTGAAAAGTACCGAAATGTTAAAATTAATTTTTACGATGTTTTGGAGAGAAGAACTCATGAGACATTGTACAGGTTCTCCCAACCTTGTCCAAAGCAATACACAGAGTGAGACAAACTGATATTTAATTATTATTATTATTATTATTTATTATTATTATTATTATTATTATTATTATTATTATTAGTTTGACAAACAAACTGATATTTACCGTAGGGTGCCTTTCTTTGAGGGCTGTAAATTTTTGTAAATTTTTGTAAATTTTTGCAAATTTGCCTAAAAATCTATTTTGTGGATTTAATTTTTGCAAATTTATGCTGTCTGCCATCTTATACTGTAATAATTTTATTTTTGCAGAAGTAATTTTTGTGAATCTTCACAAAATCGTGAAATCCGTGAAATTTACAGCCCTTGAAAAAAAGGCGCCCTACAGTAATTATTTAATTATTATTATTATTATTATTATTATTAGTTTAAGTCAGTTTGATGAAGAAGTTGAAAGGATTAAATCTGAAGTCCAAGGGGCACTGTCTGCTGATGAAGACAATTTATTTATTTTAAAAGACTTTGAAAGTCTATGGAGCAGTTACAGAAGCAAATTACAAGGAAGACTATCAAGAAAGAAGATATAAGCTTTAATATTTTACCTTTTTGTATGGATTTTCCTCCTCTGAAATTCAAATGATTGTTACCTTCTCTCTGAAGTAGTGAAGTAGACCATATTTTCTCTCATTCCTGGTACTAGTGTACCATGAGCAGCATGATCCAGTAATGATAGTGCTCGGTTGAAGTTTGATTTAATTACTGGATGAGACAATAGATCACCATCAAATAATGGCTTCCAACCAGTATACCTGATGATAAAAATTTGATAAAAATTGGGAGTGATTTCGGAGCCATTTTTTGGAAAAAACCATGGGCTATAGCCTTAGGTATTATCCAGATTTTTGGCATTTTTAAAAATGGCCGTAACTTGAAAAATTGAAGTCAGAATCAACTCAAACTTTCTACACAGCATAAGGACATCAATATGTATCAAAAAATGTAATAAAAAGTAGGAGTGATTTTGGAGCCATTTTTTGGAAAAAACCATGGGCTATAGCCTTGGGTATTTTTCAGATTTTTGGCATTTTTAAAAAATGGCCGTAACTTGAAAAAATGAAGACGGAATCAGCTCAAACTTTCTACATAGTAAACCTATTATTAAGAACCTTGTTTGTTACTAAAAATAGTATATATATTAGTGTATAAGTTAGCTAAAAATAGCATCTGCAGGTAGTACATGTATTATAGGCAGAACCCTAATCTTCAGTGTTGATGCAAATTAATACTGAGAGCCTTGTTACTAAAAATAATCTACAAATGTATATGTACATACATGTACATGTGTAATTATAGTATAAATAGAACTAATAATTATTTTATACCTTTTTTGTTAATGTAGGCTTGGTTTAACAAGACTCCTCTTGGAAAGAAGAGAGCTAAAGCTATCAAAGAAGCAATGGGAGAGGATGATGGAGGAGGAGGGAAGAAAGGGAAGGGAAAGCCTGGGAAAAGAAGAAATAAACACAAAAATACAAAATACACGTACACTTATTATTAACTGTATTGTTATAATTATCTTTGTCTTTAATTCCAAATGTATGTAATATTTATAAGAGAGCAGTGAGTGTCATTATTATGCTCCCAATCATGATTAATGAATTCCTGCTCTGTGTGTGGGCTGGTATCAATGAATCTAATTAACTGATCACAAGATGTCCTTAGAGGACGAGTGTTGGACTGCGTTTGACTATAAAGATCATAAAGAAGCTGTTCGCTTACTACCATTAGTGGAGGACAAGAATAAAATTAGAATAGGAAGGGACGGTCTACTTCATTTGTCTTCAAGGAATGGCTGGTTAGATGTTACAAAAGATCTCATCACTAAATATCACTGTGACCCACACGAAAGAGGTTTTTTGGATTTGACTTGTCTTCATTGGGCTGCAGATGGTAATCATGTTGATGTGATGAGATATCTCATTGATGAGTGTCACTGTGATCCAATGGCTGTTGACAGGTACGGGCGGACACCTCTTCACTTTGCTGCTCGTTGGGGTAGTTCTGCAGCTGCTGAATATTTACTATCAACTGGTAAATGTGATCCATTGGCTAAAGACAATGAGGGGAGAACACCATTTACACTAGCTAAGGAGAAAGGTCACACTGATACTCTTTCTGTCTTTAAGAAGTTTGGTGGCATAAAATCATCTCATCCAATTGATTCTTATGTTAACGTCCTCCTTGTGGGTAATCCTGGAGCTGGTAAAAGTACTCTTAGTCACGTCATCAAGGACACAGCTATTAGTTCTATTGTTCTTGGTTCCTTTAGAAATGTTGGAGGGGTAGTGGCCTGTACTGCTGGCATCATTCCTTATAAACTACAACACAGGACACTGGGTAACATCATCTCATGA